CGCTTCTTCGAAAATACAGTTACTTGGGCCGTCGATCCAACGTCGATCCGTTACATAACACTCCGTGGAAACGTTCGCTCGTGTTGGCTCGACTCGGCTCGGAGCGCGCGTTACGTGCGGTTTCCGTAAATTGCTACGTGCAAACTCGCGGCCGCTCCGCGTCGCGCACGATGTACATATAATACATACTCGTCGACGTGTTGGCGGAATCGCATCTCCTCGAGATGCATCTCGCAAAATGGGAGGCACGCAGCGCCGCGGGAGAAAACAACCGCGGAAAAATCGACGCGCGGAAACCGCACGTGGCCGAGGAAAGCGGCGGAGAAAACGACGTTTCGTGCACGTGCGAATTATGCATCGCGCGCGATTACTATATACAAAAAGTGCGAGGTAAAAATACGGGAACGCGCGAAGATGTTTCGCTAAAGGATTCGTGCTCTCGTGCTCTCGCGAATGTATGTTTGGCGCATAATTAGCTGAATTAAATAATACGCGGCATAATTATTTGGAAAGTTGGCGCGCACCGATGTGGCAGTTTTAAGAAATATTGACGCGCACCGAGTTTAATTACGACGTAGTGGAGGGATGATCGCTGTGGGAATTACATATCTATTATAAGCGAGGGAGAATAATTATTACAATTGAGTAATACTTTATCGCAATGGAAGATACCGATGCAAGGATTACTGTGTTTAAGAATTTATCATTTTTATACCAATCTTTATATCATTGCTACCTCTATAGTAACCTTTACGAAAAATTAAATGTCTTTTATATGCATAATTGATAATATTTTTCTTGAGTTAGAAAAGAGATACTAGAAGATAATCTACATCTTTTTACAACCATTAATAAAAAGTTAGTTGCCCGCGAATATTCAAAGTTATTAATAAAAATGCACTTATCGCTTCTTGCAAGCTATATTGATACTTAATTGCTAATAATTATGCGTTAATACGTGAATTAACTTTATTGTTACTGATAAATAACTGAGTTTCTCGATTAAAAAGAAACACATTTTTATGGTTCATAAAATAATAAATCATTTTCATAAATATAATTATGTGATAGAGGGAACGAGAGAGAAAATAGCTGCAACGTTCATTCGCCATCTATAAAGATCGTGTTTCCAACGTATCATTTTCATTCCCGAATGGTGCAAAACATCAAGGCCGAAATGTAATAATCGGTCATTTGAATAGATTATTAAGTACTACTGAGAGCCACTCACGCAACATTGTACAAACTGCTGATCTAAAGTCAACGATGACTTGCATATAAAAACTGTCACCACGTGACATTTTTATTTTATTAAAATGTGCGATCTAGTAACGCATAAATATTAACACATTAACAATGCAACACGTTCAAATTAGATTATAATCAGGAAAATATACGCCAATTATTGATCGCTGGAAATGATCGGCGAAAATGAATTTAAAGCGTTTCAGTCATTCAATTGTATTGAATGACTGAAACATGACATGATATTAATAGCCAGAGAAAGCCAAAAATACAGAAGCTTAACAAACTACAATATTTACCGAATAAATTGCAATATTAAATGTATTTTTGAAATAGTGAGAAAATTTATTCCAATTATCCGAATCATACATTTTTGTAAAAATCGTAATAACTCTGTAAAAGTTACCAATATTTATATCGTCCCTAAGGCTATGTCTTTTAGCTCGATGATTTCGCTTGGACGGTCGCTTCTTCGAAAATACAGTTACTTGGGCCGTCGATCCAACGTCGATCCGTTACATAACACTCCGTGGAAACGTTCGCTCGTGTTGGCTCGACTCGGCTCGGAGCGCGCGTTACGTGCGGTTTCCGTAAATTGCTACGTGCAAACTCGCGGCCGCTCCGCGTCGCGCACGATGTACATATAATACATACTCGTCGACGTGTTGGCGGAATCGCATCTCCTCGAGATGCATCTCGCAAAATGGGAGGCACGCAGCGCCGCGGGAGAAAACAACCGCGGAAAAATCGACGCGCGGAAACCGCACGTGGCCGAGGAAAGCGGCGGAGAAAACGACGTTTCGTGCACGTGCGAATTATGCATCGCGCGCGATTACTATATACAAAAAGTGCGAGGTAAAAATACGGGAACGCGCGAAGATGTTTCGCTAAAGGATTCGTGCTCTCGTGCTCTCGCGAATGTATGTTTGGCGCATAATTAGCTGAATTAAATAATACGCGGCATAATTATTTGGAAAGTTGGCGCGCACCGATGTGGCAGTTTTAAGAAATATTGACGCGCACCGAGTTTAATTACGACGTAGTGGAGGGATGATCGCTGTGGGAATTACATATCTATTATAAGCGAGGGAGAATAATTATTACAATTGAGTAATACTTTATCGCAATGGAAGATACCGATGCAAGGATTACTGTGTTTAAGAATTTATCATTTTTATGCATACCAATCATTATATCATTGCTACCTCTATAGTAACCTTTACGAAAAAATAAATGTCTTTTATAATTGATAATATTCTTCTTGAGTTAGAAAAGAGATACTAGAAGATAATCTACATCTTTTTACAACCGAGTAACTGCTACCTAGATAATCGAACCTATAGTTGCGTCAAATCACAAAACAATTGGAGTTAAGAGCTATACTTGCCTTAAAACATAAACAGAGAGCTATATGTACAGCTATATTTAGCTAAAAACATGAAACTATAAGATATACTTATATCTGTTGTGTATTCTCTAAGCTTCTGTTTGATTGTCTATATTTTTCATAAAGATTGATTGATAATCATCTCTTTTTCTACGAATTTTTCAATCATTAAAACTATATAGAGGAGAGACAGATTGTGAGAGATATGGCGAATAAAAAAGAAAAATTCCGCTTCCGATAATCTTGTTGAGATTTAGGTCATCGTGGCAAGAGAATGAATCGCCTTGCGGTTATCGCATAATGAATTAAAATTACCGGTTGCGGCAGCGGGACTTAAACACAAAGCATCGCTTTAAAGGCAAGAATTATTGTAATTACAACAATTTATTGTTACGAGAAGCAACCAATGGTACAGAATGCTTACATTTGATAGATTATTGGCGCTATCTAGTGATGTCTTCTTTAGATATGTACATCAAATAGGTTTGACTGGCGACATCTTGAGTTTCAACGCTGGACAAACTAGCTTTAACCATTTCAATCATTACATTTCTACGTCGATATTTTACATTATATAAAATTAAAAAAAAGTATATTTAAAGAAATACTATATATAAATTATAAACAATATATAATTGTTTTACTCTTATTTATATCTTGTATAATGTTATTGTCACTTAGTTCATTTTGAGTAAAAAAGTTTCAAAAAGGAAAAAACCAATCAAATTAAGATCTAAATATTAATATGTAAAAATTGAAAAGAATATGGACATTGTATATTTTTTATAAACTTATGTTAAATTTAATATTATAAATAAAGAACGCGCGGGTACCAAAGAAAAAAAATCTTTCTTTCTAGCACATAGAACGTGCTAAAAAAAATGATGGAAATTCCCAAGAGAGTTCTATCGATTTGGCATGAAGCTAAAAGTGTCATTTTTCTTCTGATACAAGAATCGTAAGGAAATTTATCGACAGCAGATGCGAGGAACATTTATCTCGCGGAAATCGAGAAGTTCTTTCATCCTCGTCGCGGTCCAGTCCACCTACGCACAAATCGTAATGTGGTAGAAATGATTACATGATCACAGGAGAGGTTCTACCCTTTTATTATCATAACTGCTTCTATCCCGTACGGAGTTTAAGTTGGCTCTAATAAGGAGCGATCGTGACGACCCGAGGAGACTACGTGTTTACATTCATACGAAAACGCCTCTCTGTTTCGTTCATATAAATCCACTTTCCACTTTCTTATTTATCTATGTTAGTTGTTGCACACATCGATTCCCGTCAACATCTTATGTGTATTAAATATTAAATAACGTCTCGCAGTACTACGTGCCGTGTTTTAGACGGCGCCGTTTATCAGAAGATAACATATTTTTATGTTTCGATTTTTAGCCAGATATTAAATGCCCCATCAATACGCAATTATTTTATATTACTTGAAGTTTATGTGTGATATCATTTATGAAAATATTCCAACAATGTCTCATGTATCATATTTTATCGAAAATAATGAGGTCAATGTTTGAACATAGTGATAACATATATTGAATTATTTGAAGAAATATTTAATATACAAAGAGAAACGCCTTTTTTCTTTAATTAGCTTTGTAAAAACGCGGATAACAAATACATATTCGTGCTATAATTGAGAAATAAATATGACAAGTGCTACGAAAAGTACGTGGCAAAAGAAAACTTTTATACTTATTCATTTATTTAGATATACAAGAAATCTCTTTTTTATCGCTCAAGAGATCATGCATGCATGTAGCTTTTGTTTCCAAAAGCTGCGTGTATTTGAAAGAAAGTGTCCAGACCAGCTTTTACGTAAATGTCGTTTATTGACGTCGCGAGAAATAAGGATAGCTTTACCTTTCGAAATGTTTAACTCGGGCAATATTGATTGCCATATTTTTCACACTAGCCTGCCCGTTACATTCCATTAGATACACTCACAATCAGTTAAATGATCGATTATATCGATTCTCTCTCGGTTGTTACGTTTTCGGTAATGTTATCGCAAATTTATTATTTGTCACATATAATAACCGACGCGAGGAAAAGAGATTCGCATCTGTAATTTCAGCGAACAATTGTTGCCGAGATGCCTTACAGCAAATCTATTGTAAGTAAGTATGATTGCACTAGTAATCTTATAAAAATAGCAGAAATTGCAGATGCTTATACAAAATACAGTATATATAGATTAATCAAGTAAAACACATGTAAGGGACGGTTTAGAAATTTATAAAATTTATTAAATAAAACTATTATATATTTAGAACTTGATTAAGAAATACTAAAAGTAAAAAAGGACAAAAATTGTCAGGTTTTTTCAGAAAATTTTTACTTTATTGTTATCAGATAAATATTTATACATTGATAAGAACAACCAGTAAATTTGTTTGATTATGAAACATATTTAAGAATCTGCATTTTAAACAGCTAATTTATTTTCTACGATTTTTAAAATTTCTCCAAATTTAGCAAAAAAGAAGAATGAAAGCGAAACCATAGTTTGTATTTAAGTATTTATTTTTTTGATTATTTCCCGTCACCACATAGCCCAGCAAAGGCTACATAACGATAGCATTTAGCGTTTCCAAAGCGATGAAGAATTGCTATGTCTATGCTATTTTGCTTGCGTGGTCACTGCTCCAGTTCCGGTTCTTTTCTTCCTCTGCCATATTTCATTCTCAATACTTGAATTAATTAAACATTGTTGAACATTAATATAATATTTGACATTGTCCAAAATATGTTAAAATAATTATATAAAATAAAAAAAATGTTGCTTTTTTTTTAAATAAGAGATATTTTTCGTACAATTTCATAAACTGTAATATTTTTGAAAGTATTATAAATCATGACGATTGAAAGAACATCAAACTTATTTTTGCGGTTTTTATAATCAAACTTACTCATCGCCATCCCTTGAATATCCAGCTAATGCTCGCCACAATTCTTTTGGTCCTTCAATCGCAAGAGGAAAATTTTGCCATGACCATTCTTCCGCTAATGAAATAATGCATGAAAGGGTTAGTCGGTCATAAATATATAAAGAAATATCAATATTCGGTCTAACCTTTCTGGGGATAATCTATGCGCCTTTTATTTAAATCGAAGTAAGTGTCTTGCTGTGTGTGATCCTGCAGCGGTAAAGATGATTGGTTGATTTAAAATGCAGAAATTAAGCATTATTCAATATGATCATTAAGTGAAATCTTTAAGATGTACCATAAAGGAAATATCATGATAATATTATTAATTTTAACAAAGAGAAAGAAGCAGATACCTGCTGAGTATTTCTACCAATCCGAGGTATATGTTTTTCGGCTTTGTAAAAGAAATCTTCGAATCTTCCGCTTCGACCTACTCGAGGCAAAGTTTTCATTTTTGCTATCTTGAGGAAGAACGCTGGTACTTCGTCCGCCTTGGCAACATTTTGACAGATCAACAACATGATCACTCCAAGAAGAGAAGCTAAACATACGAAAATAAAATGTTAAACGTTTTAACATTAAAAAGAAAATGTAAAAAAATTACTCTTTAGATATATCATGCTTTAATAAAAATTTAATTTTCATTAATCGAATACGAAAACTTGTAAAAAAATGACAATACACCAATTAATTTACCATGAAAGAAGACACCTCCGATCCGCCGAGTATGAGAACCCCGTAGCATCATTCCGAGAAAGTCGCAGTACCTGCAATGAATCAAACGCGGTTCAGACTTTAAGAGCAACTTCGTTCTTAGAACAGCACATCACGGATTACACGCCTCAGAATCGAGCGCAATGATTATTTCGGCAGGTGAGCGCGTGCCATTCGACGTGGCATTCTCGATCACAGTCGACACGTAAGTGACTGCCATAGAATTCTGCCGAATCCCACAGGAAGGATGTACGTCTCGCGGGGGTTCGGTGAGGACTGAAAGATTTTTCGCGTATGTACGGCTTCTTCCATTACCGTGAAGAGTGGATCCGTGTGCTCGAGGATTGTGGGCGAGGGAGAATCGACAAGGAGTTTGCACGTCGAGAAACCCCATCGCATTTGAATCACGCAGCGCTATTTGTCCTCACGCGGAACACGCGCGAGAATATTTAACTGCGCGTCGCAAGTAAAATGTATTCTATAGAACGGATATGTCGTGGGACGTTAAGAGGAATGTTTGACATACAAGTTGCATTCGGCTATTGGATGGGTAAAAGTAAATAGCACGGAATTTCCAAAATCACTAACACATAATCGACAACGCGTCCTCGACGCGAAATTAAGATTTGTTTTTTATATAGATGTAAATTTAATCTTTTTTTGATAAAGTCACGAGACGATACGCGAGAAAATTAAACTTTTTAAAATGATCTCTCAAATTTGAAAATAGTTCTTTTTAAATAATTATGATTTTTTTTTTTATTTGTGTATAACATTACATACAGTTTTTATTGTAGTTATGAACTATGCGAATAAAAAATACTTATTTTTTAATTATAACTTCTGAAATATTTTTCGTAAAATAACGTAGAGAACACATGTCATATATTCAGATATGATATTTGTTCTTCTATTTCAAAATCGATCAAAGAGATATTGGATATTCTAATTTAATGTCGTAGATATAATGTTAGAGAATCAGCAGATCTTTTAGAAAAACAAGAATAATGAAAAAATAGATCAGCGTGTATAAATGCGGCTAATATTACTTACCTGTAGATAATCTGGATTTACTGAATTAAACTCGATTACGAACCGCATATTTATACGGGATCAAAAAATAATTAAATATTTCGTTCATGTGCACCTTGTAAATGAACGCGCACGCTTGTAGTCCTCAATAGATTGTATTTCGATCTGTTTTTTCAGCGGAAGATTTATCGTCCTCAATAGCTGAGATATCAGCGTAGTACATGAAATAATACACAATTCTGTATATTTCCTACTGTATCATTAATCTATGATGCATATTGATTCACCTTTGTATATAATTATTACTGTTATATTAGATAATACATAATTTAACATTTTCAAAATATATTATAAAAGTTAGATTTTTTCTTAAAATTTATCATTGCAGTTAAGTAAATATAATTCTAAAGTATTTTTATGTATAAATATAAAATATATTTTATATTAAAAATATTATAAATTACAACATGAGCACAATTAAATAAAATGTGCCAATACTTTTTCAGTCGATTCGTATGCGTCTTTTTCGGCCACAAACAATAGACAATACCCTTATCCAGACAGGTGAATAGTGCGTGCTTTCCATACTAAATCTTTCAATCTACATTTAAAAAAGTTTCAACGAACTCTTACGATCATATAAATTATGCAAACCAAAGATTCTGTTAAAAATTATTGTTGTGATCGTTTGTCTTAAATATTTGATTCTCTGACAGGCGATATTTTATAATGATTGAAAAATTGTCGGGACATATTATTGTTTAACAAAAAAATTAATAAAATTGATATTGATCGTCAACACAAATATATTGAGTGAAATGGGAGATCAAAGGGAAAAATATTTAAAATGGTACTAATTAGCTCCTGAAATCATATTTTATTTATGATGCTTCTAGTAAACATAACTAAATCGTGGAACTTTAAACTGTAAATACATTAAATATAATACAACGTAAACATATAATTAATATTGTTTAAATATAAGTATACAACTAGATATGGGGAGGAGAGCGTAATGCAACTATGATAGAGGACAGTGTAACTTTCAAGCACACGATTATTAGTGCCTTTACAGGAGCTTGATTAATTACATTATTTCGTTGTTCAATCAGTCGGCGAAAGGGATGATTCATCTCGGTCGGTTAGTCATCCTCAGTTGGATTCTTGACGAGATATCCAAGCAGTGCATGTTTCGCTGGCGACTTCACAAATAGCTGACAGAGCACGGTTGGTAAATTCATAATCTGAAAATATTATGATGAATTAAAGATCTATTATTTTTTTTTAAATATTGTGAGAAATGAATGAAGAAACCTCACTAAAATTGATTAGCGCAAGAAAATCTATAATTTGTAATCATTTTCAAGCAAAGAAATATTATAAGAATAGTAAAATTTTTAATAATTATTATTTTATTTAAAACTATAAAAGATATTA